AAATCCTTATTTGCACCTTTACTCCAAAATTTGCATTTTCAATCTTCTATTTTCCCTAAAACAATTTTTTAACTAATTTTTGCTTCTCAAAATTTTAAAAGAAAAAAATTTTCACCTTTCTCAATATGAGATCTGATTGACATTTTTTCCTTCAACTTTCTTAATATTAACTTATTATCAAATATAAAAGACTAATGACTTATTGGTCTAAATAAAAAGAATTTGGTCTTCCTTAAATAAGATTTCAAGTTCGAATTTTTTGAAAGAAAAAATAAGCATTGAAAGAGCTTTTTCTCTACAAGGTCCGACATGATTTGATTATGAATTAGTCAAAATCAAATATAAAAAAATTAACCAACACAACAAAATTTCAAAAACTTTATTATAAAATTTATTCATTTTCTATACAATACTCTATCTTTTCGTATAATATTTTTTAAACTATTTTTTAATAAAGTTAATCTCTAAGCAAACATGACCTTGCTGGAATCTATCAATCTTTCCATTAGCGGTTGGAATTCAAGATAAAGACAGCAATATAAATTTGGATGGCTTTGAGAGAAATAGAAGAGACAAGTCAAAGATTGAATAATTTATTGCAATCTAAAACAAACATAAGGCTCTAGTAAGAATTTCATTTTACTGAGAAAAAAGGGAAAAATATAAACATGAGAGTTTCGGATGGAGATTTCAGATTTTAGGTTTAAATCTTGGAATCTTGGAAGGGATCTGGGATGGGGAAGATTATCATATCAAAGAATTCAGATTCAAATCCTAGAAATGGTTTCGGAATAGGCAAGAGTTTAGTTGTGTAACCCATTATCATATCTCAAAGAGATTGAAGAAACTGAACAAAGGGAGGAAAATATCGAATCACCAGCATGGCAATGCATTGCAGCTTTAGAAGAAAGGGGAATCTAGGTAAGCAAATATGAGAACAGACTACAGAGAAACATTGATGTTTGACAAGACCAAAAAGAAAGACCCAATCAGTTGTGACTTAGTAAGGCCTAAAGGGGTTTTGCGCACTAGGCTCTAGATCAAGGTTTGATTTCCTATAGAAGCCTCGTGAATTCTCTAGTTTCGGTTTAGATGGCTTGCTTTTGACCGGACCAGTTGGTGTAGGCCTATCATTAACTAGACTAGGAGGGGATTAGCATGTGCAAGCTCGCTGAGGCACACCTTGACTGCCGAACCAAAAGAAAGAAAGAAAAAGAAAAAGAA